AATATATCTTTTGTGTATTTTTTCAATTGTAGATGCATAATATTGAGCCGGTATCAGTGCTTAAGAAAGGTATGAAATAATGTGTTAGAAAGTAATTAACGCAATAGTCGCTATTTAAGACATATGTCACAGTGCAATTTTTCGGTGACAATCTTCTGCTTGTTTAAAGTTAAAGCAATTTGGTGACGCCATTAAGCGACGTATGATAGGAAGGGCCGATAACTAGTATTAGGGTAATGATGGACTGAAGGTGTGAAATTAGCAGAAATTAATTTCAGAAACCAATCGTTTTATAAGCGGTAAATTTATTAGTATATTAATATGAGTTTGCTGGCATTAAATTTACGGATTGCCGTTAAACTAAATTATCAAACCATTACGAAATATTTTGTTATAATTACAATGGCATGACTGTGGCGGTGGACAAACCTATTCGCAATACTTATTTCGAAGCAACAATAAGAATTAATATCATAGAATACTTTTCCTAGAAATTATAGGCACTAATGATGAATTTACTGGGAGATAAAACTAGAGAGAGAAATTTGATTTTATTATGTGTGCTAAGCTCAGACGATTTAACCGTATATGCACGGAGGTTGAGCATTTAAACACTCAATAGCTTTTAGCTGCATAGATACTAGAATATCAACTTATCTATTTAGTGATAGTATATGTACTAATTTACTTTACGCAGCCTGTAAAATATAAATTCTGACAAATTAACTCTAGAATTCAATAAAGAAATCACTATGTAAATCTGTTTAAGTGCATTTAGTTGCCATATATAGAAATTGTACAGTAAAGAAAAGTGTGCCAATTAATCAGTTGACTGTGAAGTTTAGCTGAGAAATCGAATTCTCATATAAAGCTCGGAATCGAGGCTAAAAATACTGGGAAAGCAGCCCGAGTTGTTGTAATTGCACTAAAGTTCTTTAAATATCTTTGCTATGTGTGAGAATTATGACATAAATATGCTGTATACAGTGGATAATACAGCACATGACGCAAATGAGAGCATAAAGTGCATAACATATATGTGTACAGATTTTGTTCATTCTGAGCTATATCAGACTTAACGTACATCTACAGTATTATAATTAGAAGCAATACAATTGACGAGGATCTATTTTAACTCTTAAGTGTAGGTATGCATATGAGGCTGTAGTGAAGTAGCCTTCACATAGATGTTATCACTGGACTTGAACGATGCAACTGAAAGTGCGCATGACGGTTGATTTATATTCAAGATATCTCTTATCGTCTAACGAAGTATTATACTGGACCGTAAGACTTAGGACTATTTGCACTATAACTGAATTCATAATAAAGATTTATCTAAGCTCAAGTTATTACATTAATACATATATGGAAGTGATTAGTATTAGGAGACGGACATCCCTTTATTACAGAGGCTTAAATTGTTGATTTATATGTCCATTTGAGCTACCGAAACAGTAGATAAATATAGCAATCATGGGACGTATACTAGTACCCCTAAGTTAACATCAACAGCAAAATTTTACTGCCTGCGAACATCCAATCGCCGATTCCTGTGTTACTCAAAATAAAACTATAAGATAATGATCAGTATACAGAATAAAGAGGACTTGTTAAATCAGACTCCTCACGAAATTCATTGCATATTGAGCTTAATTTAAAAATATTAAGGCATAAATTGAAGTAGGCCGATTTTGTAGCAATGCCTTTGCGAGTGTAGTGAAGCCCCAAATAAGCTTAAGACTAAAATTATGGAATAATGCGAAGATTGATAAATTGTACGTTAGATTGTAAGACTGTATAAATTTCTAGTTGTGGAAGATGTTTACGTAATGTATTGTAGTAATTGTATTGAGATACTTATATTAAGACTCTGAGATAATAATAGATAGCGCTAATTATGTTAGTACTGTGAGATTTGTATTGTAACGCTTTAATTAGAAGCGCAAATTGTGAATTGATAGCGTGATGCTAAATTTAGATGTGATCTTGTAACTTAATTGATAAGATATGATTGCTTGACAGAAAATCATTGTGTAACGAATTGAATATAATTGTGAATAATGCTGTGATAATTCAGATATTCCTTGGTAGTTACGAGACAAACCTGATCTTATATAATAAAGTGAAGTTTACAAGAAACGGTAGTTCGCATTGTTGTTTTGAGAAGACACTTTATCACAGTGAGGTTGACGAGAATCATAATACTAGGAATTATCGTATTCCTATTTTTGGTAAATTTTCACTTACAAGAATAATGCAAATAATTAATCGTTCAGTTTTATACGGTTATACTAGCATATAGATACAGTACATTTAATACCGCAGCCAATAATATCTAACAAATAGACTATGTATTTTATCTAATAACATCCCGTAGGAGAGAGGTTCATACAAAGCCTTGCTTCTTTCCTTACTACCCCATTTTAAGATCTTTGTAGGTGATATCATGCTGTTACGGTACGAACTACCGTGAAGAAATAGCTATCTAAATTTGGTTAATATAATATAGTGATATTATATTACAACTAGTTATTTACTATAGGAATTACTCTAATTATAAATGTGTTACAGTAAATTTAATGCTGTGCTGTAATGTGCACTGAAATGATTCTGTGAATGGACATATTGTAGTCCGACTGTGAAAAACTAGTTATCGCCCCTAAGTATTTTTATAAGATGACTTGTGAATGTTAGCTGCTGTAGAAGGGTATATAAGCCCATCAGATAGTTGAATAAAGCAGTTCTCAATTGTCTAGTTGTTTTAACGTAGAATCAAAGGCGTCTAAATTCTTGTTAGGTAGTTAAGGGATACTGAATTCCGGAAGACTATAGTAATTTAGAGATTTGTTTTACGTTATCCTTGTCACGAAGCTGGTTTGTGACACATGCATAGGCTTTTATAGTCCTCCAAACGAGAACTAATGATCTCGAGATAAAATAAGTTATGGTGATAGGTAGTGAGGTATTTCATCATGCATGGAAATGCTAAATACGAAATTAAAATTAGCTTTGATAATGGAATTTTTGTCGTGTAGACTGTTATTATAAAAAACGTAGCGGTTGAGTAGTATAGGGAAATAGGGACGAACTTAGCCTCTGAATAATGATATTCTGATTTATTTGTGAAAAATGGTTGATACTTCAAGACTAAACTCATTATGGCAACTAAAATTCAAATAAAATTCTAAAAGCAAAATGAAATGTCAAATTTATTGAAAGATGGATAGCAGATGAGCCACATAATATTAAATCATAATTATATTTGCAGCAAGTCTGCACGTAAGAGATTTTATACTAGCACACCCTTAAAAATTATACTAAAATTCTACTAATATTAATAAATCAAATTTACGATATCTTATTTATAATATCTTATTTTCTGGATTATGTTTATATATGAACGTGACCGATTTCGCATACGGTCACGTTCATATATACGACGTAAAGGCATTTGCTATTCCAGTACTTTGGTTGTAACACTTAAATTTTGAACGGAAAAGTGGTGTAGTCGACATCGAATGGTAGTAATATCAACAGAAAGGCGGTGCATAGGTAGTTTTATGAAGAAGTCATTTAGTCCATGAATGAAAAAGCACTAAAGTCAGCATTAAATCACGAAGTTATCAGCAGAGAGAAAGCACCGGATCAGCTTTGCAATGATGTAGTGCATCATTGAAAAATACACAGAAATTAAATTCATCAGCAATAGCTATAATATTTCGTTTTCTACATTGTATTTACACGTTTCCGTAAAAATACCTACGATTTCTAGGCATTGGTAGAAACAGTTAAGTCTGTTTAAGGTCAGATTTAAAAGCGTACAATAGAGTATTATGTTATATTGCAATTGTATGTTATTATTTGCTTTTTTGAATTATGTTGAAATCAAAATTTACAAGGAATTTATAAAGCTTTCAATCGTAATACAGTACTAATTTTGAGGTGATTATTGATAGTAATGATAAAGCTTAGTCTTAATTTTATGGCAGAATGAAATAGTTACAGTGTCATCCTAAATTTTCGCCTTTAAATTCTTGCTCTTTTGATTGATCGGGAAAACTTTAGTTATCTTTTTAAGTAATATTTAGTGGTAATTATGATTCCATGCTGTGTACTACTCTGTCATTAGTTATGAAGATTCAAATAGCTCGACATATTTAATCCGAGAGTAATGTAACTATCTTTTCGAGAAGTAACTAGTATGTCAGTTTTAACTGGAAACTTCGAATCATTCCTGGAATAACATGAATAAGCTTTCAATAATTTACAAGATTTTTCAATTTAAATAGAGCTAGCTAATTCTTAAAACAAACTAATAACATTAACAAATAAATACTTCATCTTTGGCTTCATTTATTTCTCTTAAAATCGTGGAATGTATATTTAACATAAAATTTTTCGAAATTTTAGACGTAAATATAAAATACTCGCACATGTTCTATCTGAAAATCGTATTCAAAAACCGAAAACTAGCAAGTTAATCAATTTACTGGACTACTATTTTATAAGTAATCGCAGATATGGTGATTCCTATCTGAGATGGTAATATTTTTAAAAATAAAATGGGTTACAATTACGTGATAATTATATATTTGGAAAGGAGTACCTGAGTGTAGCATTGCAGCTCAGTTTAAAATAGAACAGGAAATAATAGTTTTCTTGTTCATTAAGAAAAAGGTCTAGGTGAATAACTAAATAACTTTGAAAATCAATAAGTTGTAAGGTATAAAATTGTAGATATTTCTATTGTTGTTTAAGTCATTGCTATAGATCATTTTCATTTCAAATCTGCATACATAATAAAACATGTTTAATAAAGTAGATCGGAAACATAAAATGTAGATTAGTAGCTGATAGTTAAATATTTTCATATTTACACTTGTTGTTTAGCTAATTAATTGGATGTAGATAAAAAGTTTCCTATTAGTTGTATGGAAAAAGATATAATACAAATTTATCTAAGCTGGTTGTGAAAAACAGTAAAGATCTTATAGTCGCTAATCTATGACGACCGCAACAGACTCAGCTAATCCAGGATTATATAGGGAGCTGTTCGAGCTCATTAAATGTCGACTTATTCTAATATGGGAATCCAAAGCTCGATAACAGAATTCGTATTGATCCTGTAGCCACGACGCAAGAAAATTAATAGAAAGAGTTAACAACATCCCATTAGTATGTCACATTTTACTACAGTGTCTATCATTAATCATTCATTTGGCGCTAATGATTAAATTATACTTATGCGTTCCTTACCAAAGTTGACACCATGCCTGATCGTTGTTCACGATAGTATTTAACAGTTTGATAAACATCTGCAATTTTTTCAACTTTTGCACGCTTCATCATTGACCACAGAGCACAAAATACACCTGATCGGCCACCACCATTACTACATTAAAATATTTATCAAAGTAAAATTTAGCATCCATTTTTACTTGTAGATATTAACCAATAATATGTTTAATTAATAATAAAGGCGAAAATAAAGTCATATCCAGAAGTTATCATTGAAACATGTTAAAGGAGCGTATACACACTCCTGTGTATACAAGTATATTTGCATATTACTGGGAAGTGATACTGTCATAGTTTTTGCAAATTAACCTGCAATGGACAAGGATTGGATCTTGATTTTTTGTTGGCACATTTTCCATTACTTTGTATATAAATGAAAGAATTGACTTTGTACCGCTTGGAACTGAATCTTCAGGCCATGCCAAAAAACGAAATAGCTTTATATTTCTTATACAATTATCCTCCTGTGGAGCGTAAGCCCATTCAAACAAAGAGATGAATTAATTAGTTGTTTAAAGTACTTAAAAATTCAATGAACTTTTTGGTTATCAAGACAATTAGTAATAGTTTTGGGGTCTTGAGACTATTTCTCTTATAGATTCAATAATTTGTTTTTGCCTCTGCAGTTGCTAAGCTTAGCGTATAAAATTCTCAAGGTAATAGGAGATGCTTAGCCTTTTAATGATAAAAATTTTAAGCGGAATGGACATTTAAACTGAAATTTTACTGCAGGAATGCATTTATGCTAGTGCAGTATTGATAGTCTATTACATAATGAATTACTGCACCCCACTGTAAGTTCGAAAATAATATCTAAAATATTGATAGTAATATATCATTTGAGTATGATGCCCGGTAATTAGCATAGTTATACCTGAAATACTGAGTAACGAATCATTTTATGCAATGCTAAAATTTTCAGTGGCGGAAGATACTGATAATTTGTAAATATCCGCTACTACATTTTTAAGTTGTAGTAATTGCTTACATTCGCATTTGATACTTCTAGTTGGCATATGCTATAGCGATGATCTTCACGTTTGGTTTCCCCGATATTTTTAATGGTGAAGGTGTGATATCGAACTATTTCTTCTGAAACCTGTGATGGATAATAGCAAGCATGGCTACTTTGAGCTTCCAAGCGTTCGAGTATATGGGAATCGTGAGCGATAACAGGCTGTAAGGAATAAATGAACGATTCTATTTAGTGTATTCAAATAGCGTGATGTAATAATGATTTATTATAGAAATTTTATACAACTATTTCGTAGTGAATAGATGAAGAAGCAAATCGTTGCATCACTACCAATCCGGCTTGATTTTTAACATGAATATTGAATATCTCAGTATACTAACCGCTAGGCCTTCTTTTAACTCGGTCAAATTCACTATAATTTCAACTTTATTATCCCAGATCATTTGCCAAAAGTGGTTTACCGTATTGTGCAAAGGGGCTTGAGTCACAATAAAATTCTCTGGGCACTTAAATCCCTGAACCAGTTGTAGAATGTTACACTTAGAAGAGGCCGGCAATGATTACTGGCTAATTTATATGCTAATATAAACTATCACAGATTGATCAGTATTATAATTAATAAAATGATCTCAAGCATGTACAGTATAATGTACAATTAAAACACTTGCACAGTATTAATACTTATACAGAGTTGAAGATGTCCAGTTAATAAAAATGATGAAATCACGATAGAAATACATGACAGCATGGTACTGTGATTTACAAATGATTATTAGAATAGTTCCGATATGTGTTAAGACTACATTGTTGTAACTAAGCTCACAATTTACTGTTCAGAATTAAAATATCATTTAAGTACCATACGTGTTATAAGCTACCTCAATAAAACTTGCGTTGATGTAATCAGAGTCTTCCGCAGTGTTGGATAAAATGATTCTATTAAACTCGACTAATTGAGTAAAATATTACGATATTGTCAGTTTTCTTTTTCAAACAAACGATCTGAGCATTAGTAACTTACAGGGAAATATTGTCATGCTTCTATTTTTGGGCAGATTCTGCAGCGTAGTTGATGCAGGAAATTGGGCTAATTCTGATGACGTTTGTAATTGCTGACAAATAAAGAAGTATATAGGATATATTAGTATTGTAAAAACTATCGACTGGTACACTTATTTCAGTAAGATCATATGCATTTGCTTTATTAGCTTACTTTAAATTCTTGTTGCAATTCGGTAATAGATGAGTGATTTGCTTTCAGGAGGTTGTTAATATGGCGTCTTAACTTGGATAACTGTACTTCAGTTTCGCCAGAGAATATCCACTCAACAAGAATATCGTGAATAAATTTGTATTGTTCCTAAATAGAAATTCATCAATAAATCAGAAAGGTCTGTGAAACAAGTGTTCTCTAAAGGTATTGTAACTCGTTAGGATATTTTACCCATGTTTGGACTACTGAGGCCCGTTGAGAGCGTAATAAAGTCACGCAAGAGTAAACGTCGAGAATTTTATCGTCCAATAGGCGATTGAGTAAGATATTGATGCAAATGAATGTCCCGGTTCTTCCTATACCGGCGCTAGATTTATAAAAATGATGTCATACTTGTATGAATGATTCAAATTGGGTATCTTACTTAAATAGAAATATACTAGAAATATTTCGTAGTTAAATTATTTTCACCCGCAATGAACAATCATAGGGCCTTCATCCTTTTCCGACAGTGCCTTAACGCGTTTTAGAAATAAGATAAACGGTTTGAGACGCTCAGGAACACCATGGTCTGGCCAAGCAAGAAAATGAAAATGCCTGATTTTTCTACTCATCGACTCGCCATTTGTGTACTGAAGATAAAAGCCGATATTGATTACGATAAATTGACAGACCGTGTAGAACATACTGATCTAAGGTAACAAATATTGATATATCTCTGTATTGGAATACCTTGATATATATATATTTATTACATTACATATAATTAGCATGACTTACTTTGGTAATCTTTAAGTTACTAATAATAAAAGCTGGGGCTTCCTTGACCTCAATTGCTTGTATGCTAAAGTCGTCGTATCGCATTACATTTATACTGTTATTTTCTTCTTCCTTTACAGATCCATCGTCACCATAATGAGTTATAACTTGACCTGGCCAGTACTGTACATAATTTTGCTATATCATTCAACACCAGAAGTTGATTACTTTAAACGTAACGCAATCACTTAATTTTCGCAATCAGATTTAAACTCTAATTACCATAAGGTCTAATAGAAGACAGTAACATTAGACTTTCATTTACTCACCCTTTGTCTTCCTGATTCTGAGTTGGAAATCATGATAATACTACTGGAGTTTTGTTCCCAAATCATACGCCAAAAATCATTGACAGTATCTTCCAAGGGAGCTATGATAAAACAAAATAATGACATTAATACGTTGTTCCTAGCGGATTAATGTATTACACGAGGTTAAAGCTGATAATCTGTTGCGTAGCTTTAAATTATATATTTTATCATCTATGAGATAACCAAAAACATTGGCTAAATTACAGATATAATAGGAAAATCGAATTTAAAGTGCTATATGGATAGCATAGCTTATCGACTCTGCTTTATAATAGGCTACTGTAGAGTTGTATGATGTATCAGTATGATTGCTTTATTGTTATTATTTAAAATTTGTATTATGCATCAATTATTTTAACATTGAACCAATTAATATAATTAATTAACAGGTAATCCGTAATAAGTCGCAAAATGAATAAGGAATGTACTAAAAAATAATCATACCACAACTGTGCGATGCTAAATTAACTATTTAGTTACTTTCCGAAAGAGTTTACGATCCTATCGCAAGTATTACTCTCTAAATTAATGCATACTACCTTGACAAGCAATGTAAGCATTTTCCTTTTTATGCCCCTATTACGAAAATAAAAGCAATTATGTTACTATTCTGATATGTATATCAATTAATCATATAAATACAGGTAATTAACTGTTTAAGATGTACAGCTACCTGAATATAGCTCGCATTAATATAATCTGATCCTGGTATATCATCCTTTTCTTGAAGAACAACTCGTGAATAATCGTCTAAGTACGTAAATTAACAGCAAGTTACAGGAAATTAATTAAGTTAGCAGTTATTTTATGGGTCAAGTTCTACCCATCGCAAAGGAATTGATATAGATAGATTCAACAATAGTTATGCTTACATGGTAAAACGCTTGAATAGCGATTTTTAGATTGGTTGCTTTCTTGGATTGCATCAAGACAAGGTAAGGGTCGAGAGCGTTGAATAGTCTGACAATAATAATGTTGTGATTATTAGCATACAATACGGATTCTTAAGATATAATAAAGCAATATCTACATTAATTAAGATTTTTCAGTGGTTATAAGATTATTAAGTTAACTCAATCTATTAAAAAGTCAGTTGCAAGGAATTTCGTTATAATAGTGGACTATGTGGTCGAAAAATTATACTAAACGCTAAAAGTAGCTAAATAGCAGTCGCTAAACTCACTATCCGGTTATTATTAAGATTTCATAATTCTAGATAATACTTCACAGTAGCTATTAAAGACAAACTGATGGAGCTAAATTTAAAGATTTTTATCATCATAAAATTTTGAAACAAGAACATACCTCAAATTGTCTTTTAAATCGCAAGTTCTTATTTTCTGCTAAATACTTTACATATTCACAAAAAGAGGAAACAGGTACGGGCGGGAAAATATTCATTTCTGTAATCAAAAAAGTGATAAAAATAAGTTTCATTTTGAATAAAGTAGAACGTTAGATATCATTTCGAATTCTTATCCAATATTTCACGTCACATATATTTGAGGGTACAGAATAAACTCGTTCTACTGGTTTCGTTCTCATACCTTTCCAGCTATCTTCTACTGTATGCTTTATTACAGATTCAAATTCTTCATCAGTTGTATCAGGCTTTACTACAGATACTTCATTTAAACTTTCTGCTTGATTAACTTCTTCCTTAGGTTTAAGCGTAGATCTATCAAGTTTTAAAAAGAAGCTCTAATACATGCGTACGAAGCCGAATCAATTTTCCGCTAGATCAGTTTGTATTAAAAAATATTCCTCGCCTGTATGCCCTTAATATCACTAGCGTTGCCGATATTAGTATTAAGAGTGCAATTGTTACTGACGATGCTGAAATGATAATGGATAATTGGGCACTTGATGGATTCGGATCTTTATATTCTGAAGAAGATTTGATTTTTCTTAGGAATTTGACGTAAAACAAACATTTTAATAAATAAAAATTTAGCATTATGCTTACGTGGTGGAAATATTTTAGTAATTTTACTGGAGGTAAAAGATGCTTCTTCCGTCTATTATACAATCATGAATTTTAAGGAGTAAAGATCATCCGTTAAGTATTCTTGTTGTGATCACTTAGAAAGTCTTTAATTCTCCATCATTTACCGAAGTCATCATTTAAGCTTGTGGTTCGTGATATTGAATCCATACAATACATTAGTAATTAAAATGCAGTTTGCTATTTCTTACCGTAACTTTATGATGAACGTATGCTCTTAGAAATATTCCTTGATGATGGTCGACAGAGAGTGGACGATTATAAAATTGTTTGGATGCATTTTTATCGCCAACTATGAAACTGTTTGGAAAGTCAGTGGATAAAAATCGAGCTGTCTTGTATATTTGGAGCAATTTATTGCCGTATTCTAACAACATATAGGTAGTATTTTCTAGTAGGATTGTTTCCCCGGCGAAATCTTGATAAATATTGTCTACGATAAGATCTTGAAGGGTAGAATTTGCAGCAATAACGATAAGGTCGTAGTGGCTGTAAATTGCAAGTGTAAGCAACTGTATATCAGTTTATAAATTTTTTATATATAAACAGACCATACCCAATGCAGAAAATTTGATTTAGTGATTTTACGATATTTACAGTATGATAATGATAATTAATTAATGGATTGCATTGGATTAATTACTGAATCTATACAATATCGATATCGAAACCGTTTAGTAGTGTATGGCAACCATTGTTACCTTAAAGGTCCATTCTCTTCTGATGCAGGTTGCAAAGAGACTTCAACAGCAAAAGTTTTACCGGGCTGAACCCACTTTGTTGCATTGGTCACTTGTACTTTATTCACTTGAATTGGAGCTATTAATAGTAATGTTTATTAATGATTAAATTAATGATCTGTTTTAGAAGTGTTTCATATTCGAGGATTTAATCAATATCAATAAACTTACGAGCAATCAACGTTACGACGACTATATCTCCGATCACACCCTGGATCATGTTGCTCACCATGGCAGTAACTTCGAAATGATATTGGGTGTACGGCTTCAGGTCTTCAATCATATAAGTTGTTTCACTAGCAGCAAGATCTGATATTACGTACTGTGCTGACTTTGATTTGTTATCTTTCATCTTTTGACCAGTATATTTAATCTAGGAATGTAGTGGAATTTTAGTAAGCTACACAACATCCTTGAACTGTCATATATCTTAAATGTACAATTACGCTGTAAAGTCTTAATTTTTCAATCAATACTTACAGTATATCCTATGATGTGTTTCTTCAATGATGAGATTACGCTCCAGTTTAAAAATACGGAATTGCTTGTGACATTGTAAGCGATTACTGAACCCAACTGATCTCCATTAAATGAGATTGTAGTTTCAGTTGTCGTACTTGCTTTGGCTAAAGAAGACAATCATAAAGACTTTTCATTAATTTTTAGTAGAATAGCATTTTAAATGTTACAAGGCATTTGCATACTATCTTAAATTGATAGTTTCTGGACATAATTAACTTAATTCTGTGGTGTATTTTATTGAAGAATGTTATAAATATAGAGAAATGGTAAATATCAGATGCTTGCATATAAAATATAGTAATTTCTAGGATTAGGGACCGAGATTAGTTAATCTCTCATTCAATTTAAATTAGATTCATTTTCAAAGAAATTTAATCTATCATATGCAGCATTGTAGTACAGGAATAGAGTTTTGTGCAGATACAAAATTGACCATTTAGCTGACATTTAGTATTGACAAACAGCAAATGTTATAAAGTACAGTATTTGATGGGATAAAAATTCTAAAATAATACCAAAATTACGTGTACTAATGAATTATCGATGACATTCTGCTGTATTTATCCTCCAAATACTACTAGATATGTAAAAATAATTGTTATATATCTCTATTAATGATCTATTAAACAAGATTTTAACTAAATTAATGGACTAATGAATTACCTGTCGCTGACGTTGCAGTAGTCTGAACTGTCGACGTACGAGTTGTAGATTTAGTCCCAATAAACGTACTAGTGGCTCTACTTGATGGAGTTGCTTCCTCTGCAGCATTTAAGTTACAAATTTAGCCAGTTAGTAAAATGAAGTGATACTTGATGAAGATCTAAGTTTTGATATTTCGTAGCTAGTCATAACATAATATAGATTCATTTTACTTACGAGGCTTCGTTGTTACTGTTATACTTGCTTCTTTACCAGTGCCAGCACTATTTTGAGCATTTATGCTAATTATATAGGTCGTATTTGGTACTAATAATGATAATACAGCCGTATTTAGAGCTTATGAAATGGCGTATTAATTACATATAAGATATTGATGAGACTTGAAAATGAAATAACTATGCTGAATAATAATCAGTACCGTAATCTTTCTTACTGCAAATAATTATAGAAAATTGCGATAAATTTGGTTATACATGTATGTTTTTAAATTAAGTACGGTGCCTAAAAATTTAGTAATATCTTGTTATAAGCAAGTAAAATCGTATATTTTACTGTAATTGACAGTAATTTACGGATTAGAATTCTCCTAAACTATAGTATTAATTTATTCAGGTATACGACTAAGGAAAACTGATAGTATTTGTATAGTATGTGCCTTTATGTCGTCTTTAAATGAAGCATTAACAGTTTTAGCACTATATTATTGTTAAGGTGTGAAAACTATGTACGCTATATTTCATAAGATTTTAATTACTAACTAAGATTGAAAAAGCGAAAAAATGTTTGAAATCCGCTCAATCGGGTCACTCGGGCAATTTCATTCATTTGACGAATTGTCAGATAGAAATTTGTCACTTCTTTAGCGTTAACGGTCCATTCGACATCGACTGTAGTACCGCTTAGCACTTTTGCAGTTATCTTTGGAGCCGAAGGAGCTGCAAGTACAATAAAGTAAATTTATATCTGCGAAAATTTTATTAGATATTGGACTAATGAGTATATTTATACTGAGTTGAGCTATGCAGACTGGATTATTGTGCTTAGTCTGCCATTGGTAGTAAAGGAGGAAATATTGTAAATATGATGTAGTATATCGAAAGTGCTTAAGTTATCGTATGAATTATCTAAATACAATACGAGTATAAAATAAAGATAATTTTTAGCCAAAAGCTTACGAAGCGGTGCGGTTTTGATTTCGATTGTACTTGAAATGCCGTTTCCAGCTACATTAAATGGTATAATGCTAATAACATAGGATCCTGAAGGCAGTAAATTCTTCACATAGCAGGTCTTTCCATATAAATGATTAAAATTTCATTTAGTGATACTTTGTTACAACTTACTGGCTCATACACTCCTAGCAATCTGATATTACGGCTAGACAGTCCCATTACTTACATGCTGATTTTTAGCCAGGGTAAGCTCTCCTTCTTTGGTATCTATTGCGCTCCTTTTATACCAGGTAACTGTATAACCATCAATAGACTGAGAACTAGATAATGTTGGTGGGTCCCATGAAATTTTTATCCACGTCGCATTTAATTTATCTACGCGAATTTTGAACACGGCTGATGAAACTGTTGTGTTAAGAAAAAATTAAAAAAGATAATCTTCATTTAGTTTCTGATTTCTTCATTGCATAGGTAGGATATCACGGTATTTAGTATTTTACCTTCCGGGAAGGTTCTCACTGATATACTCCGACTTCGTTCACTGCGATAAAGAATATTTTCAACTTGAAGGCTGATTAAGTACTTTTTATTTGCCTTTAGCCCAGTATAAGTGTATTCGGTAATATTATAAGAAACCGTTTTGATGTCAAAATTAATATTATCCACTTTTTCTCGGATAAAAATTCTTATCGAACGTAACGGTCCGTTAAAGGTGTCAGGTGATGGTAGCTCCCACGAAATACGAATTGCATGTGGACTTATAACCGTTGCACTAATGCTAGTGGGTGGCTTGCTTGGCTCTATTGTCGCAATCAATATTTGAGGCACGTCAATGGAAAACTCAATGACGAACGTTAAAATTTACGATACGTTACATGCAGCAAAGGCTATTGTGCAACATCTCTATTATTAATATATCAAATTTTCTATGGCTACGGCCCTAAACTTACTCTTAGGCGGGGTCTGGATGATAATCACATTGCTCGATTGGCTCATCGACGTATTTGCTATCGCATAAATATATACAGTATAGTTACGGTAAGGTAGCAATGATCGCAGAACGAATGATTCCATTTTGGGAGTTTTAATAATTTTAGGTTTGTCGTAGGTATTGACGACAATCCCATATTGTTGAATAATGCTGATGCCATACTTTGGTTTTACCCAATTTAACTGTGCATCCCATTCTGAAATCATGGTAACGGTTAAATTCCTAGGATGGCTTGGTGCTATTTTCAGAAGAAAAATCAACGAAAGTTGAATGACAGCCAAAGTTAGATAATGTTCAAAAATTAGTTC